CCCTCCCCACGGCACCGGGGCCCCCCCCGGGGGGTGCTCCTGGAGCCCGGCCCGGCTGGGAGACAGGGGAGGGGTGGGCAGCAGCTCAAACTTTTTCCAGATGTCCTCCCCGGGGGGAGCGGAGTCCGGCCCGCACAAATAAAAATCATCTTCGTCCGGGTAGAAACAGGGCTGCAAAGAGTCGAACTCGAGGTCTGGGTTTTTACTGACCATTCCTGGCATTATGGGTCTCTTCTTGCCAATCCCTGGGTCGGGCAATGGTTTTAGAGACAGGTTTTATGGGTATTTCCAGCAAGGGGAAGAAGAGAGGTTCTCCCAAGACCTGAAACTGAACCAAAAATAAAAAAACAACCACAATTAAAACACGAAGAAACAGACAGACACGAATGTGACTCCCTTCCTCTTAACCGAAGGCAAAAAAATAAAATCCCATCATCGACAGCAAGAAAGAGGGAGCCTTTTGCAAGTTGCGAAAAAATGCACCTCACACACCTTTCCTCCCGACTCAAGATATTCAAAGAAAAGCGATCAGGTAGTTCTCCCAGATGCAAAGCTTTCCGCCGTCCCCGGCGCTCCGTGAGGACACAAAATCAGCCGGCAAGGTACAGCAAGGATGCAAAGCACCTCTGTGCTTTTGCACATAGCACTCGCCCGCTCTCCCCAAACTGCTTCAAACGCTCAAAACAGCAGAGTAACTGTAGACAGATGGAAGGCTTTGATACCGTAATCTCTCCAGAAAGCCCTCTTAATATACCAGCAAAAGTAGAGGAAGTTTACTCCTTTTGTCATCTGCGGAGCAGTGCAAAGGGGAGAGAGAAGGATGCAAAAAAGGGGGCGGAGGGGCTCTTTGCAACTTCGCAAATCGCCAGTTCATTCACTCAAAGCGAGCCACAACCTTATGTAATAATCTCACGCACAAAAATGCATTAAAACCACCCCGGCGCCACCAACAAAGCCTCCTGATTTGCCAAGAAGGTACGGGAAGTTTTTTCTCCCCCTTTTTCCAGTTTAAGACAAGAGCAACGGAGAGGTTGCAAGGACAACAACTTCGCGCATTTTGCCACTTCATACAATCAAACCTCCTGCAAACACACCGCCTTTCCAGCCCTCACCTCCGGAAAATGCACGCTGCTGCCCTTACCTCGGCCGGACCCCCCACTCGCTAGCCACGACCAGTCAACCACAGCCCCATTCCTCTTCCGAGAGCTCAGTTGCATCAGACATTAAAAAAAAAAAAAAATTACTTTAAGTCCAAACGAGACATTCAGCGTCTCCCTTCAGCTCGGTTAAGGTAACGCGAAGGGAAGTCGTTCTGCTGGGTTCAGAACAGCTGACGCTGAAAACGGAGACCAAAAGGGGAAAAAAAAAAATCCATTAAAAGCCTTATGATGAAATGCAAAGAAACGAGCCCGGCTCAGCTGCTCTCCCCCTGCCCCGCCCCCTGATCACTTCCAGTATTGTACATTTTTCTACTCGCGAAATACATTAAACCGTTAAAAATGCAAAGCAGTACAGAGGCACCTACAAAACACAGGCGATCTCAATGCGACAGCTCCAAAACAAAACAAAAATATCCTCCAGGATTTTCTTCTGCTCAATGAAAAACCCATTCACGCGCTGCAATGCCCCTGCGCTTCCTTCCCCTTCCCATCCTCCCTAGTTTAGCAACTCAAATGCGATGTGGAATTGTATTTATTTGATTGGTTTTTTGTCCTCCTGCTTATTACAGCCCAGACCCTGCAGCTTCCTCTTCTTACCTCCTTGGTGATGGTGGTGGGTGTTGCAAGGGGGA